TAGTTTTCCCATCTGTTAAGGTAATTTTGAATCCCAATTCTGTCTTCTGTGGCTTCTGGGTTTTAATAATCACAGCATCATTTTCTAAGTGCTCACAGACCAATTGTTGAATTATCTGTTCTAATAACTTTCCTGGTATCGATGTCAAGCTCACTGGATGGTAGTTACCTGGTCTTCTCCCCCCCCCCTTTGAAGATGGGGACAGATAGCACCTTACTGTGTTTGCATACAATATGGGGACAGATAAATGTGAATTTCAAAGGCAAGCTATGTTTTGGTTTGCACATTGTTTTGAAAAGTGTGGATTTTAATGATTCGATCTTAGCTATACAGTGGTACCTCGGGTTACATACGCTTCAGGTTACATACTCCACTAACCCAGAAATAGTACCTCGGGTTAATAATAATAATAATAATAATAATAATAATAATAATAATAATAATATCTTTATTGTAATTTCGAGGACAACGAAATTACTTAAGAACTTTGCTTCAGGATGAGAACAGAAATCGTACTCCCGCGGCGCGGCAGCAGTGGGAGGCCCCATTAGCTAAAGTGGTGCTTCAGGTTAAGAACAGTTTCAGGTTAAGAACAGACCTCCGGAACAAATTAAGTACTTAACCCGAGGTACCACTGTATACTCAATCAAATTGCTACTCGCTGCCCCGCCCCCCACTGGCAATAGCTACTGTTAAATGCACAGGAGCTAACAGAAAAGGTTGACAATACTAACAGGAACTGTTCTAAGATGCAGATATGATGAAGCAGACATACATAGCATGCTCAAGCTGCTGTGGGTCACAAGAACAGTTCTGGTTCCTGCCCCTCTAAGGCAAGAAATACTTCTTTGCATCAAGTTCTGGAATCACTGCTTGCTCAAAAAGCAATCATTTGTGCACCACATCTTGTTAAGGCTGAACCAGAGAGAGGTCAAATTCTCCTTTCTTCCTGCAGTCCCCCACATCACCTTCCATGCTCTTATTAAGGGTCCTCCCAGCTTTCTGGTCCCCCAGATTTGGAGAGCACACAAGGGTCCGAATGGGAAAAGGGGAAGGGAAATCAACAAAAACCACCTTCTTCCCTTTTCCATCAATGAAAGTCTTACTGGACCAAAGAGTCTTCCATCAGTGGAAGGGCACAGTTGAGGACAACCCACAAGTGCTTTAAAAAGGGGAGCACAAAAATAAACGTTATTTTTTTGGACAAGCCACTTTATGGTATTGAAGGCAGATGTAAGGAGACCTTACAACAACAACAACAGCAGCAGCAGCAGCAGCAGCAGCAGCAACAACAACAACAACTTGAACAGGGGAGTATCCAGGATCTCACTCAAGGGCTGTCTTTCTTACAAGTGCATTGTCAATGCTGAAATAGCAAAAGTAGCAGAAAGTAGACAGGTAAGTGAATTATTCCAGTCAGTGAAGACATCAAAGACATTGAAGAATACCATTGTGTATTCACCTTAGTGTGTGTCCATGAAGACACATCAACACTGATCTGTAGTAAATGTAAGTGGAACAGATCAGGGCAGACTTTGGCATGTGGACATGAGTTCATCTGATTGTTTGCCATACCCATAATTTCCATGCAACCATTCAAGCCACTTTTTGGCAGCCAGTGCTACCCTTAATACTGGTGGAGACGCATCCCACCAATTCATCAGGTGCTGAACTCTGAACTTTGGACTCACTCAAGCTGCGTTCCTAAAATTGTTGTGCCAGTTGTACATACATGATTCCCCACTGCATATCCACGAAACAAAGTTAAACTCCTCACTGTGATGTAGGTGTTAATCAAAACAAAAAATATTGTACAAACTGAGGTTCTTCGTGGGTTCATTCTTGTTTAACAGAGTCTGTGAGGGGTTTCTAGGAGAACAGTAGCAACAGGTGCTTACTTGGACACTCAGAATGGTCTTCTTGAGCAACAAAAGAATCAGGACTAGCAAGTTACAGAACACTAATTATAGCCAAACACTTTTCTTGGAACTTCTGGCAATAGCTTCCTTCATTTCACAGTCTAATCCCATTACTTACAGATGACAGCAGTCTCTCTCTCTCTCTCTCTCTCTCTCTCTCTCTCTCTCTCTCACACACACACACACACACACACAGCAGATGCCAAAACCCTTAACAGCACTTCTCCTCTACTTCCTATACCAAAACGTCTAGCAGTTTTCCCTAGGACCCCACACTAGGTAGACTAAATTAATTCCAAGGCAGAGCAAATCAATGCCTCCTCCTTATCAAGCCTCTTTCGGCTGTAGATCGATTCAGTCCACCACCACCATTCATAAGATGGAGTGCATTTTTCTCCCTGGTGTTTTTAAAGAATCCGCTGATGAAATGTCTCACATCAGTGTAGGGGAAGCAAGTGATGTAATCGGGCGCAGAGCTTAAAAATAGATGTAGGGAAGCAGCAGCTTTGTTCCTCAAAGGGAAGGAAGATCATGTGTTATTGCTGAAATTCACATGACCTATTTGATAAAGCAGCAGTGTGTCCACATTCCTATAGCAGCAGCACTCTCTTACACATGGACGGAGGGGGGAGAGAAAAGGCACCAGACAAAACTGTCAGCCTGCACAAATTCCAGCTGTCGCTTGCACTCACTGCTTCCTCAAAAGGCTTTTGGTTCTTTCCCTCCTAACATAAACCTGTCAGTTTTCCTTCAAACAAGTTACATTTCCTAAAAGATCAATGAAAAATGTCTCTCTTTCTTGTTACAATTTATACTATAGAGGGACCCGATGGCTCCAGATGGGATTGGAATACTCTTTATGTGGGGTTTGCAGCAGGGTGTGTGTGTTACTGAATAATAATAATAATAATAATAATAATAATAATAATAATAATACATTAACATTTCAGTGCTGCTGCTCCCACCTCTTCCTGTAGTAAAAGTAAAATAGACCTGTAGAAATAAGCTGTTCTTAAATAGCTTTGTGCAGTGCACTTTATGATTATTCTCTAGCTGTTTAATCTTTCAAATCAACACAATAGCCCCTTGACTGAATCCAAATATCTAAGTGTTCAAATGAAAATAGGTGAGTTGCCCATTGCCTTACTTGGAGAGCTTCTTACCCTTCAATGTGTACTGTTCCCAATCTTTCTGAAAGCTTCCCATATAGTTTGAGGCAAAAAAAGAAGCCATGAATACTCTCTTCAGCCTGCACACACCCTTTCCTTCAAGAGGGTTAGAATTTGTAGGCAATTTGAATTTTCTCCATTAGTTTCTCCACTAGTCACTTTGGAGGTGTTCAGTCATACTTGTATTCCACTCTACAAATGTTACATACCTGGTGGTGTGGAAGGTCCATTGCAATTTTTCAATGCAGCAAAAGGCAATTACCGAACAGTGCTAGAAGGATCCCATCTGAAGGCACCCTTGGTATTCAAAATGGCACAGGAAAGTAATGGTGGAGTTTATGGAAACAAGACCATGTGGGAGGAATTCACAGCTATGCAATCCAGACTTCTTCTTCCTCCAACAAGAAAGAAACAACATCCTCATTAATCTCAAGCCCCAAACTAGACAGGGCAGCTCTGTGGCCATCTTCAGAGTTGACTGGGAGACCTATAAATGTTTGGGTTTCTTACTGGGCAAGGTAAAGATGAAGATCAGATTCAGACAGGTCGCCCAAAAAGCAGGATGAAGTAGGGTGCTTCAGAGGGTTTTTCAGCTTGTTCCTGGTTGATGAGGAGGTGTGACTTGAAATAGGGACTTACAAAGCATTTTGTGGTGCACCCACAATCCAGACCTCAAAAAAAGAGTCAAGCATCTGCCAAAAGCAAATAATGTCTCTAAGCTTACTAGAACACCATAAAACCAAGATGGGGTAACGTGCAAAGGGAGAGCAAACACAAGAGTGGGGCGAGTGCAGAGGGAAATCTCTATTATGATGACAGCTCAAGCTTGTGATAACACAGGATGGGTTTTACCTGGAAAGTTAATCTGCTTTAGCTCTTCCCAGCCTGAAATCAACTTTCAAGATCCTGGACCTACTTGGCTACAATTTGGCAGAGGTTTTTGGTTGTTTTGTTTTTACCCAGGGACACCTCTCTCTGGTCTGTAGTTTTCAGACAAATTGTGCAAAAAATACTAGAGAAGATTGAGTGATTTCCCCCGCCCCAAAAAGCCCACCTGCAGGGATCAATCTTGCCAGAAAATCACTGCAGTTCTCATCCTGATTCATGCCCTTGGGACGTTAAGTGATTCCCTTTTTATCCACCCCAAAACTGCAATGGTTGTCCTTGTGGGACAACCACTGCAGCTTTCCTTCTGAAATTTGGTGGATGTATGCCAGGGGTCTGGAAGGACAGATCGTGAAGCTGAGGCTCCAGTACTTTGGCCACCTCATGAGAAGAGAAGACTCCCTGGAGAAGACACTGATACTGGGAAAGATGGAGGGCACAAGGAGAAGGGGGCGACAGAGGACGAGATGGTTGGATAGTGTTTTCGAGGTTACCAGCATGAGTTTGACCAAACTGCGGGAGGTAGTGGAGGACAGAGGTGCCTGGCGTGCTCTGGTCCATTGGGTCACGAAGAGTCGGACACGACTAAATGACTAAACAACAACAAATGCCAGGGGTAGGCAACCTAAGGCCCGTGGGCCGGATGTGGCCCAATCGCCTTCTCAATCTGGCCCACGGACAGTCCAGGAATCAGCATATTTTACATGAGTAGAATGTGTGTTTTTATTTAAAATGCATCTCTGGGTTATTTGTGGGGCATAGGAATTCATTCATCCCCCAAAAAAAACATATACCCCACCCCACCACATGGTCTGAGGGACGGTGGACTGGCCCACGGCTGAGAAAGGTTGCTGACCCCTGACCTATGCCCACAGAAGGGGCATCATCACCAGCAAATTCACAATTTTGCCCCCTTCCAAATTAAAAGTTATACATAGCTCCTTTTGGGGAGGGATTTATGTTCAATGAAAACAGTTGAAAATGATCCAAAGTTGGAGTTCCTATATCCAATTGTTTTTTACTACAGGTGTGTCCTTTTCTGGAAATCAGATCAATAAGCAACATTGACCAGTGTCAGCATAAGCCTGAGTGGAACTTTCCAGCTGGACTCCCAAGCATCAGTTGAAGGTAACTTCCACACAGAGGGTCTCAGTTTTGTGTGAGCAAATGAGACCAAGAACATAAGTAACCAGAACTGTAATTTATTTCAGACTGTAATTACTTGCATTTCCTTTTGTAATCTCACAAACCTAAGAAGTGTGCAACCCTGTTATTGGAGCAATTGGATAATTATTATAGTACAAACTGTTAAAAGTAAAAATGCCCTTCATTTTTCTTTGATGTCTAAGGAAGAATAATTAATTCAAAGACATGCAAAAATTAGGGGAATTTAAAGTACAAAACAAATGTAGTCTAGTCTTGTCGAGATACAGTGTGCCTTTTATAGGCATTTCCTAGCTTGCCTGACCACAATGGGGCCCCTGCAGCTTTTCAGATTTACTCTACAGGAGAGTCAGTTTATCCTGAAGTACAGCAGCATAATTGAACTACTCCAATTAAAACAGGTCTGACTTTAAAAGGGTTCGTTTCTGCAGACCTGTGCTCTCTCTGTGAACTGTTTTGCTTCCAGAATATGGAGCTTGAATGCAGTTTATAAAGCAGTTCTTGCGGAATAGGCTACAGGGCAATGCCTTGGATTAGCAGACAATTGAATAGTGCAGCCCCTACAAATAGACTCCACCATTTATTTATTGCATTTCTATCTAACCTTCTTCTCCAAAGAGCTCAAGGTGGCATACATGGTTCTCCTCCTTCCTCATTTAATTGCCGCAACAACCCTGTGAGGTAGGATAGGCTGAGTGTGAGTGACTAGAGTAAGGTCACCCAGTGAGCTCCAGGGCTGAGTGGATTTGAACTCTGGTCTCACAGATCTTAGTCCAACAGTCTAACCACAACACTACACTGGCTTATATCATGTTAAGGCTTCTATCACATGATTTACACACATGCAGATCTTGGGTTATGCTTTGCTATGAGCGAAAGAATAGCTGCATTTTGGTTTGTGAAGGGCAAATTACACAGGTTCACATTAAAATGAGTTTCTCCGGCATCCTCACAGTCTTGACAGCAGAAGGAAGCTTCTTAGGTTCTTATGTTCCTGAGACCAACTAGTTATCCATTCTGTGGGTATTCCAGAGAATTAGAAATGTAGTGTGAGCATCTGAAATTCCAAAGTGTCCTCATTCCACAGCCATATTTCTACACATAAAAAGCGGCTGTTGTTTTGTGGGTGTGGAAATACTCTTGTCTGAAGCCCTTGGTAGCTGCTGCCATTGCAGGCAATCCTGTGCTTGATGGGCCAATGGTCTGATTCAGCATAAGGCAGCTTCTTAAACTCCTGTTGCAGTTGTTTGTAATGAAATGATTCTTGAAATGAATTAAGCCAAATGCTAACAGATTATATCTCTATTGTATGAGTTATGGTGTGCCGTTTGAATTCTGACTGTGATGTTTGGCAAGTCCTTCCAGTTGTTTAGTCTAATGGTTGTTTCCCCTTGGCTCACTTTGGGTAAGAATCAATATACATATATCTCAAGTCTGGGCCCACATTTTGTCACACTCTATAATACACTCTATAACAATAGGTTATATGGCTTTTAGTAGGTTAATCTTGAAGTACTTTCTTACAAGGCTTACTAAGTCGATCCAAAGCAATTCTGCTATAGACTATGAATTTTCCTATCAAAGATTTACTCATGGTTTTAACTGCATGGATTCTTAGGAAAGTTTTCAATTTCACTTACTATGTGATACATAGTATATAAACACACACACACACACACACACACACGATGTAATTGGGGGTCTTTTCTTTTCTTTTTTAGGATCAAATAAGACTAAATTTCAAACTCAGCAGATTCACTTCAGCACACCATACATTTGGATATTCTTAAAACCACTAAACAATTATACAATTTATGACCCTTTTGTTTACACAATTTGTTCACACAGTCAGAAAAATAAGGTAAGAGTAGATCTCCCCCTGCCCCTACACACGTTATTCTATAACACGAACAAGTTAAAGCATGCATGTCCATCACTTGATGGCTGCAACATTATGTGGCGACTCATATATCTGAATGATCCACTACAGTTCAAATATCACAAAGTATTCAAGTTGCCTTACATTGCCGTGTGTGTGGTGCTTTTCATTAGTCATTTGCACCTTCTGTATTGCATCAGCATGGTGTATGTGTGTTTATAAAATCCCAAAATAAATCCTGCTTTAAAATTGAAAATTTCAAAGCAGCTCACAAACATAACTATGGGTGGGTGAATTTTATGTTGTTGTTGTTTATTAAGAGCAGAATCCCACACACAGAGATGTGCAGACACACATAAACGGCAGTGGTGATTGGCAGTGTTGGATGACACATAGATTTCTCCACTGGTAGAGAGGAGTGCTTGTGGTGGTAGCAGGAATTTGTCATGATAGAGACTGAGCTATGGCCATGCAGCCGATAAGCTGTTGCCAGTGTTACAGCAACAACCGTAGAGTGATATTGACTTCAGCTAGAATCCCCTGGATCTATCTGTTAAAAAATGAAGTGTTTTTTTAAAAACAAAAAACAAATTATAACCTTTTAATTTCTGTGTTTGTACGAACTAAAACATGGTTGATATCTGCTAAGAGTAGACCATTTTGCTAGGGCCATGGGAATTGTATTGCACTTTCTTTCCTACTGAACGATAATTGTGTTCTGTATCTGTCAAAAATGCCACAATGTTTGAAATCAAAATGCTGCCCATGTCTGTTAGCTTCACTACCCACTTACACCAGTCTGTAATATTTGGGTAAGAATGCTTGCTTGCTCTACAAGGTGCCTAGGATTATTGCAGTAGTGAGCACAATTCCATAGGCCTGGAGCACGCAAGGACACTGGGCACAATGTTGCCACAATTGTCTTTTAATTTCAAATGCTTAGCTTGTGCCAAACGAAAAACAGGTCTGGTAACATTAGCTGGAGGTTGGTGGGTGCTGAAGTAGGCAGAGAGGGAACAGTGTTTAAAAAATACCTGTTGTCTGTGAATGTCAAGAGGTTTGCTGTTGCTGCCCACCATTGCTCAAGTTGGCTGCTGCTCCTGGGAGGATTCCTCTTCTTAATATGAGGAGAGAAATTGCCAGAAGGGGAAGGGCTGAAAAACTCCAGTCATTTTCTAAACCAACTAAAGGAATACATCCTATGATTTCTCACAAGTTACCATAATATGTGATAACTTGACCATTTGAGTTCAGCTTTTTAGGATCATTCTTTGACATGAAAAGCCTTTTTAAGGCGTTCAGCCTGACTGCACACACAGAGAGATAAAATAATGTGCAGAAAAGGGATAGGCAAATCTGTCAATTTCAGTTTCTCTCATTTTCCAAATCTTACATTCCGTTCTCTGCATTTCTGCATCAGTTCGCAATTTTTTTAAAAAGTCCTCATGAAAATCACCAGAAATTTCTCACAAGAGGTACATTTTCATTATATGACTTTGCCCAATATACACATGTTTGAAAAGCAGTTTCCCCCCTAACCGAATGCATTTTCAGTAATATATACATTTCATGCACACTTTATATGCAATTCTAGACATAACTTGGCCTTTAGAGTTGAATTGCAGAATTCAGTGAAGTGTGAATTTCAAAGAATGGCTGTGTTTTGGTTTATGCAATGTTTCAGAAAGTGTGAATTAGGTAGAATTGCTTTAAAATGTGAACTGAATCCAATTTCTTCCCCATTCCTAGTGGTAGGCGAGTGTGGGGCTGTGTCTGCTGGTCCTGCCATATCATCTGCATCAAGGCAGATTTAGGGTGGTGGGGGTGGTTCCCCAGCACAGGTTGCCAAGCCGAGGGGGTACAAAATAACTCCTCCTCCTGGTTTTGTAATAAAATGAAGTTTCAGTGAACCTAAGGAGAAGATCCATTAAAGAGCAACTGTACCCAAAGGATTTATTGTGAAAAGTAATAAATATTTAGTAGGGAAGCGCCACATTTTGTCCTCACTCAGGGTGCCATGTTACCAAAGTCCCCTCCTGTCCACATGTTGGGTGAAATGTCTTTAAGTTTCTGTGCATCCATAAGCTCTGCCCATGATTAGGAACTTCTGTGTGACTGACATTCCCCATCAAGGGCGGAATGTTCACCTGAGCACAAGGCTCCCCTTTACAGATGTTCTGTCCCACAGGTGAATATCAATGGATAAGCTGGCAGGAACATGCCTGCTCTCCCCGTTAGTGTTGTTCCTATTCATGTTGTTAGAACTTCCTGAGCCAGAGGGAAGCAGTGGTTAGAGTGCTGGACTAGGAGACTCAAGTTCAAATACCCACTCGGCCATGAAGCCTATTGGGTGACTTCAGGCCAGTTACTGTCTCTCAACCTAACCTGCCTCACAGGTTTGTTGTGAGGATAACATGAAGAGGTGGAAAAGTTTGTACTCCATCTTGGGCTCCTTAGAGAAAAGTAGAGAAGGAAGGAAGGAAGGAAGGAAGGAAGGAAGGAAGGAAGGAAGGAAGGAACTGAGAAGGCAACGGGCTTTTCTATCTCAAAACTGATTATGTGAATCAGATCTGATTCATGCCCAAACTCTTTGTTTTTTGAGATGGCCTCTTTAATTGCTGTTTTAGACTCAATGGGAGTGATGATCTGGCTAAAATTGGAAGGTGTCTGGTGATGAGGCCTCTAAATTTCCTTAAGCGATCCCTCCCTTCATTCAGGCACTGTTGCCCTTGTGTCCAACACTTGGGGCCCCAGAGAACAATTGTTCTCCATCTCTTCTTTCACAACAAAGCAAAGACAATAAACATTCATATAACTCCATGCATACAGAAACAGGTTAGGGATAATATGCAAAATGTAAAGTGACTGTTAAATGTCAGTGTTCAGCTCCTTGAGTTCCACTGAAAGGAAATGGAGTGATGTCACTTAAAACAAAAAGGGAAATGGTATGTTGACATGGCTCTCCTCAAGCTGCTTACTCTGGGGTTAAATGCCCTACAAAAATAAATAAAGCATTCCCACTGATTTCAATGGGGGCAATCCCAATGCAAGTAATTTGAGGCTTGCAGCTTGAGTATCATTTGAG